CACCAGAGCTAAAACGGGATTGTTTTAGAGAAATTATTTTATTGCAAAGAACAATAAGCAAAAACCTCCTAGACGCGCAAAGACTGTCAGTTCTCATTGGAGTATACAGTAATGGCAGATAAGGAAGCAAATAAACACCACTTTTGATATTTTTACTTTTTAATTCAAACTCTTTAACCTTTTCGTGGCACTTCACAACTATGCAGCACATGGCGATGGTGTTACTCATCCTGACAAACGACAAAAGAGAAACCCACGCGGTAAACGATAAGCCACGCCCCCTACAGGTGATTCCCTTTAAAACCGCCGCGAGCTCTCCACAGCTGAGCGGGCGTGGTGACCCGCTCACAGTCAGCTTATTGTTTGTCGTCATGCAGCTAAAACTTGATGTTATATTTTCTTCAGTCTGTAATGTGACTCCTGTTTGGGTCCACCTCATTTTTTTTTGGTCAAACCGGTTTGTCTCCTTCATTTGCTCGGCGAGGATGGAAAAGGAAGTGAAGAGCTGAGCTGGGCAAGTTCAACAACTGGTTCGTGTTGTTTTGCTGTAAGCCGGCTTTTATTGACTTTTTGTCTGACTGCACGGCTGAGGTATCTTTTCGCTCAGTTTTGTTTCTTTGTTGCCCCGTATTCCGTTGGATATAATGTAAAGGTCGCTACGAAAGCGGGTTGGGGATTTTAAAAAAAAGAGGTGACGTTGTATTCAGTTTAAAGAGCTGTTTCCTTTGTTTTCATTAGCAGAAAGTTACAACGTGACATTATCAGTCAGCTAGACTGTTCGCCGCTACGTCACGCCCCTCACGAAACTTTCACAGGCAGTTTATGTTTCTAGTTTTAACTATAAGTCTGAGTGCATGTAAATGTGTCTGTCATAAACACGAAGCCGGAAGAACAAACTGTATTTGCTTATGCTGATTTGTTTTGAGCTCATCGTGCCATGCTTACAGCTTTAGGTAGGTAGAAAAAATAGGCAAAAATGCTACTGAAGTATTAACATCTGCTTTAATGTTTTAAAATGTTAAAAGACAAAAAGGTAAAGCTATATGCAAATTCTGATATTTTAAACCCTACAATGGAAAACAAAAAATGTCAATGAATGGCAAAATGACACATTTTAAGCACAAGAAACACTCTTCTAAATCAATTTCCTTTAAATGCAATATCTATATCTCCATTTGAGCAAATTGTAGGTGTCTGTACCGGCTGTATTTTTCCATGACATGTTTGCTCTTGATTCATTGAAGTAACTTATAGCAGGTAGATTAGCCAGAAAGTTTACTTTCTTCAAATAAGACAAGTGATACATCCTGCTAACATTATTCATGTAAGAGTAAAATCTACACCTAAAAGTAAAATATTCCCCCTAAAATGTTCAAGTAAATGTAACCTCGTTACTGCTCACCTCTGCTTACAGCACCATGAACATGTTCAGAAGAGACAAGGGGTCACCTGCCCAGACTCCTGTGGTTCCTCCAAGACCCACTAAAGAGGTGAGGAAATGCAGGACAATAACTTATGTACTTGTTCTTGCATGAAATAATAAGGCGTAACATTATGACTACTATGTAATGCTGCCAGGAAGGGCTGCAAAGATCCCGGAAGGTGTGGTGTGGTATTTGACCTCAATTAGCAGATCCTTTTAAGCATTGCAAGCTGATGTTGCATGATCAACAAAACACTTCTATTTTCTTTTTTTTACTTCAAATTTTATGTTGTGTTCTTTCAGTCATGTGCCATTCTACATTTTTTCTCAGATTTGTGATTCTTTCCATAAAGGGTATAACTGGCTGCTTGGACAGCAGCATCTGTATTTCCTACCCGAACTTTCCTTAAATCATCCATCATATGGTTTCTGATTTCTTGCTTACATATCATTATATGTAAGCAATAATGATATTGCTTACATATGCTAGAGAACTTTGCAACACACCTGCAAAGTTCGCTAGCATGCTAGGGAACTTTGTGTTCCCTAGCAACACACATGAACCCCACCATCCACATGTCCTAAAGCAAACGTGGGTCATCAGATCAGGCTACTTTCATCTGTTGCCCATTGTTGGCACTGTTGAAGAGGAGACGAAGGTTTACCATAGGTACCCTGACTTGTCTGTAACGTACTGTATGTTCTGACACCTTTCTATTAAACTCAGGGTTAGCTTCTCACTTGTAACAATAACTTCCTAACCAGGCTTGACAGGTTTTTTTATGCGTTACTAGGAGCTGGACAACCCCATCAGACACAGCCTCAAAACGGAGGATCCTGAATCAAATGCAGCCCTAAAGGTAAATGTTCAAACTTGATTGTAAATATGATATCAGTGAACTTACAGCCCTCATTTCTTCTTGGAAAACACAAATGATCTTGACCCAAAGACAAAGGTGCAATATCATTTATCTATTCAGCCTCTAATTGAGAATTGGTAAGCTCTGTTTGCTTTAATTCATGGAGGTTTTGTTGTGTTTCCGTTGGGAGCAGCAGAAGACGGGAGTGATGGGGGTTGTGCAGAAGGTCAATCCCTTCAAGTCATCATCAAAGGTAGAAAAACAAAGGTTTCATTTAATGAGTAACCAATAGCTCTTTGACTTGCATAACTTTGACTTGTTTCTTCTACTTAGGCGACCTCTTCGTCATCGAATGTCGGCCAAACTTCTTCCTCTGAATCATCAGAACAGGCAACAGACTCCACACAGGTGAGTGAGGATTGTTTTGTTTGTCTTGTTGAACAGGCACGAGGATCTATGTTCAGAAAGCAGGCTACTAACTCAGTCAGGTTGTTTTCCATTCAAATCAGTATCAGAAAACTGGAGATCTTATCATTGTGTCACCAGTAAGCCTCTTCTAATTGAACTTTTCAGAGCTAGGTGAAATAAAAAATATATAGGATTTGCGCTAACTTGTCTAGGTATCGTTTGGAAGAATGTCTCTTGACTCCAAATTCCTTGAGATTGAATAATACTGTCATAAGACTGGTATAAAGAAGCAGCACAAAACGGACGACAAAATGCTAACCTGTAAAATAAAATGCAGACTTGTGATTTAGTGAAATGGCATGGATGGAATTTTTAATGTACAAATAGGAAATCCATTGAATTTAACCATTTGTTTTCATTATATTTTCATTTAACAATATGGATATATCATTTGAATAGTTCGGGTGTCATTTTACATATTTTCTTAAAGAAACTGAGCACTAGTGGTGGACAACATGAACTTAAATTTATTAACACAATATTTTGAGGGATTTATTGTGATAATAATGTACAAAATTGCAAACACTAACTGCTTTGCAGTGCAAATTGACTTTCTTTCCTGTCTCTGAGCCTTTGGTTGTTCCTTGATGCCAAGATTTGAATGTTTGCAGTTTTTTTTTCAAAACAATCAATTTTTATATAAAACACAATGGCACACAGAGTATATCCTGCATTGTCTTGGTTTTCGAAAAATGTGTATTTAAATTCCATGTTTATAAAAAAAACAATGGCAAGGCAGATTGTGGTTTGCTTCATCATTTTAAGGCCTGAAGTTTTCCTAGTTTAAAATATATTTGACATTTCTAAGTAGGCTCCACCTGTACTCAGTTTTCTAGTTGAGAACAAAAATGTGTGCTCCAGAGGTTAAGTGTTATACAACACACCTTGTTGGGCCAATCAGCACAGCTTTGTGTGTGAAGTTTCATGGTAGATGGGGAAATGCCCGTGTCACTTCTGTTCCAGAACCCTGGGATGCTGAAAGGAGTCATGCAGAAAGTGAACCCGTTCAAGTCCACCTCCCAGGTAACTACAGTCCTGTCTTTCTGATCTGTGTCAGACGGCAAAGTTTCCACTAAGCTTGCTCTCTCACACAGGTGCCTAAAACTCCGTCCTCAGACTCATTGGAACAAGAAAGGAGCCCAGACTCATCTCAGGTAGGGAAGTTGCTGAAACTTAACCCAGAGTCCTTTGTTTCAGGTCTTTGTTCCTTTTCCCACATCCTATTTAGAATCACACCCATTTCTAACTCTGGCTGGGAGCTATAGCTCTTCTTTTGTTCCTTTTGAATGAGACGTTATGTCCTATTTGTTCCTCCTGCATATTAACCAGTGAGACGTTTAGGAGCATACTTTTCTTTAAACAGTTTGGTCCAACTAAGACTGAAGGTCCAACTCAATAAACGTATAGTTCACCCTTCTTGTAAAACCAAATGTCAATGTTAGTTTTTAATAATGTTTTGTTAAAAATGGTGCTTTTATTGGATAAAATTCACTGTTGGAGCCAAACAACTTCCGTCTTCTTTGTATTTGACTAGGAGACGTCACAGTAGATGTGAGTCTGCAGAGTGGAGTTCACCGTGCAAAGTACAATTATTTGTGATTTTAAAACTGTTTTATAGCAAGTTGTGTCCTATTTTCAATCACTAAGGATTAATACAATGCCTGCCCACCTTCTGCTTCAACTCTTCTGGGAAGGTTTAAGGTTGAGTTTCATTAGTATTTTGACTCTTTCTTTCAGAATCAGATATGTGTGGTCAGACACTGATGCTGGATGAGAAAGACTGCCTTGCATTATCAGCTCTAATTCATCTTGAAATGTGATCTATTGGATTGAGATCTGGGCTGTATAGAGGCCAGTCAGGTTCTTCCACACCAGACTCACTCATCCATGTCTTTGTAAACATGTCTTTATGCACTGGCTTCCAGTCATGTAGGAACAGAGTTTCTAGCCTCAAGCTGTTCTGAAAAAATTTGTTGTTTAGACACAGGTGCTCCTACATGTTTGACACAGCAAATGTTGAAGAAGGTGCTGTTGTCGAAGGAGGTCAACATTAACCCTCTTGGGCTACATGCAAAACGTTGTTTGGGTTGAAAAACCAAACTAGTAAAGCACATCACCCAGTTTTGTAGGGTAATCGGTGTTCAACTTGTTTACCCTGTAAACGAAGTGGAAGCATCTGGCTGTGGAGATGCATTTATTAAACCGACAGGAAGGCTGTTCAGCGTCGGATTAAAACCTGCTAGAGGCCTAAAAAACAACTTTCTAGGACGTCCATAAACAGCTCAGCAGATGTATTCCATCCCTCCACTCTGACTGAGAAAACCATAGACAGTTTGTGTTTTGTGATTATAAAGTTGCAAAATGTAGAAAGATTCAAGAGATATAAACAGTTTTACAAGTCATCGTTAAAGGCCAAAATAAAAAAACGATTGCCTACTGAGTCGGTGAATAAGTCTTACCATGATCATGCTGCGTGACCGGCGGTTTCATTGAAATTTGCAACTTCCAGTTATTAAATTTCTCGGAATTCATTTGAGGTTACTGATAAATTTAAACTAAATATAAAGGTGACTAATTCCGCCCCAGGTTGCATGGCTCTGCCTAAATTGCTGGCAAATCAAAGCAGCTGACTGAGACATTTTGAAACTTGATGTTGCCTAAACAAAGTGCTGATTGTGTTGCGCTAATAAAAGATCCCCAACAGAAGCTGCTGTCTTGATAATGAGATTCCAGGAAGATGTTGACTAGTTTCTTTGGCTGATCTGTGTTTGTGTTGGAGAGTCCTGGTATGTTCAAAGGAGCAATGCAGAAAGTGAATCCCTTCAAGTCTTCAGCACAGGTATCGACTAGTTCAGTTGGTTTGCATCCTGGAAAGATGTTCATGTTTCTACTCTTTCTAGATACACTTTTACCTTGTCTGCTAACTTCTAAATTTAATTTGTCTATCATTTTGTCATTCAGTGTTTTGTTTTCGCTCCCTCCTTTTCATAAACCAACAGCACATTAATATAGGTGCTCCTCAGGGCTGTGTTAAAGTCTCTGTTCCATTTATTTCACTTTCTTTATGATTAACTCTTGAGAATCAGAACGGAGGATATTTTGAAATGCTCATGTTGACGTCCTGTGCTCCTGTTTACAACAGAGTTTATAGGTTTTAGACTTAACGTTTTGACTTGTATTATAATGGTTTTATTCTGTCAGGCTGTTCTCTACAGTCTACATAGGTAGGGGATGTCGGTTTGCATCTGCGAGGTGCATTGGCAACCTCTCAGATGAAGTGAAATCAAAAGCGGCTCATATGGTTTATATAGCCATGGAAGTGAGTGGTATCTAAGGATGTCTCTCTTGAGGTAAACTGAAAGTAGGAATTCTTACAAAATTTCTTCCAGCCACTTGTTTTGTGATTTATGGAGTTCACATCTCCTACCTGAACTGTAAGCCTCTCTAGTTGGTTACAGTGGACTCTATTTGGTGGAATCACAGTAAAGGGGGCTGAACTTTTTTTTTTTTGTGAAACCATGAATCCCTTTCCTACAATTTCAAATCTATGCAGTGCTGTGTGCTGACCTATTACCTAAACCCAATAAAATCTATTGAACACTGTCTTTTCCACATCACAAATGTGGACAAAGTTCAGTGGTGTAAACGCTTTTGCAAGCATAACGGCTAGAAATTTCCCATCTTGATTGAAACCAGGATTTCTGTGGGGCATTTGCACTAAAGTATCTAATTTCTTTTCTCATTTGTGTTTAAAGCAGTCTAAAAGCGATGCTCACGGTGACCCTGCAAACACACAGGAGTCTGACGGAGACCTTCAAGACAAACGGGTAAGCTGCATTCTCTCCCGTCTTTTCCAGATAACCTGTTTGTGCTGAGGTTCGATTCTAATCTGGTTCTAATGCTTCATCACGTAGAATCCAGGGGTGATGTCAAGCATGATTCAGAAAGTCAACCCATTCAAATCCTCCCAGCCCAAGGTATTTTTTAAAAAAAAGTCCTGATATGTGGTGTCTGGCTGTCTAGGAAACCTAGAGGGACATTTGGAAACTTGTTTACACACAGTTCCTCCTCATTCTCTGTTGGCTTTTCTCTGGCTTTCATTTCAGCCCCTTCAGGACACTCGGTCTCTACACAGTGACAACTCCTCTTCCTCTGGAAGCCTAACGGACAACAACAATGTGCCAGAGAAGCAGGTTGGTGCAAAGAACTAAGATTTATTTAGATCTGCACCTTAAATGCACATTTCCTGACATAAAAGTGATACAAAGGGGCTGAACTAGAGGCATAGACAAAACTCTAAAATGGCAGATGCACAACTGTTATCTAAGAAGAAAGTTCATTGGGAGAAAACTTCTGCTCTGATTTACATAGAGCATTACACTAATGGTGTAATATTTATAGTTACCACAAGATGGCGCACAATGCAATGATTTCAAACTACGACTTGTTGAAACTTGCTGGATTTATTTACAGGTGCAAATCAATGAACTGGAATATCATTGAAAATTTCAGTCATTCAACTTTAAATGTGGACCTCATAATTTAGACATTAAGTGTTTGTTTTTGTTAATCTTGATTATTATGGCTTACAATTAATGAAAACCCAAAATTCAGATTTTCAGGAAGTTTCAATATTACAAAAGACTAATAAAAACCTAAAATAATGAAATGAAGATGTTCTGTGGTTTGATTAGATTTAAGCCATAATCATAAAATATAGGAATAAATATTTAAAAGTCCCTTTGTAATTACACCATATAAGTTTAATTTACTTGAATTTTGTTACTAAGCATATTCTACCTTGTGCTTTCATAACATATTAATGTGCATCTGCAACCTGGTGTGACTATAGTCGAGGCGTATTAGGGGGAAACTAATAAGATGGGTTTTGACTTTGACGAGTATTGTCAGTGTCATTCTTGGCATAACCACTAGGTGGTGCCAAAGGACGTGATTTCAAAACTTGGGAGCAGATCTATTTCTTTTATTCAGTATCTTTTTATGTTTTTATTGTAGAATCCCGGGATGTTTAAAGGGATGATGCAGAAAGTAAACCCTTTCAAGTCACGCACACAGGTAAAGATTTAATCAACTTCATATCAGAAGAACCCGTTTCCACAATCTATAAACCTCTGACATTTTTAACCTTATTTAACTTTTCACTGATCTCTGCTGACACAGGTGACGGATGACGCTTGTGAGACTGACACACCTGTTCCGTCTGATATGACAGAGGTAAATATAGCAGAGAAAGCAACAAAAGACATTTAGCTTAGTATGAAAGGTTCAGCAGTCGTGAGCTGTTTTATGACCTCATGAAGCTCTTTAACGCATTAAGTTTTCTTTGTGTGTCACCGTTCGAAAGTTAAACTCACGTACAGGTACACCTCAAAGAATTTGTCTGTCGTCAAAGTTCAGCATTTTTACTGTTGCTTCAGAAAGTGAAACTGGTGTATACAGTTATTAAACATGGTGTAAATGTAAAACCTTTTAATTTTTTTAAATAATTTTGATGATTATGGTGTGAAATTAATGAAAATGCCAAAGGTGCTTTGATAGGTCATCTTCATTTTTGGTCTGGTGTTTCTCATCGTCTTCTCTGAGGTCCAGGTCACATTGTGTACCAATTCAGAACAGTTATTGGATCTGCTTTTGACACCTTTGGCAGTCTGGATGGGTGCTAATTCCTGCTGGAAAGCTAAGATTTTTCAGCATAAGGAAACACAAAAGGGCTTTAAAACTTCCTGGTAGACAACTTTAACTGTGAACTTCAGAAAACCCAGTGAACCAACACCAGCAGATGCCACGGTACACCAAACCATCACTGACTGGAAACTTCACACTGGACCTCAAGCAAAGTGGATTTTCCATAGCTCTCCACTCTTCCTCTCAGCTTTGTGATAATGGTTACCAAACAAAATAGAAACTTTAAGTTCATCTGAATAGATAACTTTGGACGATTGAGCAACAGTCCAGTTCTTTCTCCCCAGCCCTGCTCGACTGATGCGGTGGACTACCCTCAGTCCACTCCTTCTGAAGTTGCCACAGATTCTTGATTACCAACGCTTGTTCACATTTCTGACCATATGTCTCACTTCCATTCAATGCTCAGTGAATATGTTTGGATCTGGCATATTGAATACCCCCCTCTTTTGCAATGTCTTTTTGTGACTTGCCTTCCTTGTGGAGGGTGTCTATGACTGTCTTCAGGACATCTGTCCAGTCAGCAGTCTTCCCGTTTATCGTGTACGCCATAATATGACCATAACATTGACTCTTTCACAGCAAAAACACAAAATCTTACTGAGTATTTTTGGTCTAGTTTCTAGTGCGTATATCTTATCACACTTGAAATAAGGCAAAACTAACTTGCAAGTAACTTTTCAACAAGATATAGGAACTTGTTTTAAGTCATTGATTCATTAGTATTGATATACTAGCTATATGTGAAATAATCTACCAGTGGAACTAGTACTTTTTCATCAATATGAAGAATTGTTGACTCAAAAAAAGCTACTATATCCTGCTGAAAAGTCACTTACTAGTTAATGCTGTCTCATTTTGAGTAGACCAAGATATTTGCACGAGAAACTAGATCATTAATACTTAACTTTTTTGGTGGTTTTGAAATTGGCTATTACATGAGACACCAAATTTTGGATTTCCATCATCCTGTAAGCTATAATAAAGGCTTAAAATATTTCACTCAACATATATTGAATTCAGATACAACGTATATTTGCTTTCTGACAGGAGGGAAGTGTCTTTTTTGAGCTGTACCTGTATATCAAAAATGGCTTGCATTTACTACATTAGAATCCCGTCCATCAATATTGTGTGTAGTTTGTTCTGTTTAACTAATGGAGCTGATGTTGACTCAGTATTTCACTCTGATTCATCAGGTTGAGCGAGCTATACACAGTGAGAACTCCAGCAGCTCTGAAAGTCTAGACGACAGCGCTATAGAGAGACATGTAAGTTATGATGTACATGTCGTTATAGTGGGTGACTTGTCATCCGTCATAGATTCAGATGTAAAAATAGAAGTCTGATGTCTCGCTACAACAATGCTAAGCATGTGACTGGGTAAAAATCACATGGTGGTGGTGTTGACTTACTGGAAGCAATGTTATTTGATAGAGGTGTTTTGTTTTTTTAATGATCAGTTCTTGATATGAGGGTGTAGGTATCTCATCAGTCTTTTGGGAAAATAGTTTCTCTTAGAATATTCATTCCCTCAGGTAACACAGTGAGGGAATGTGTTACCTAAGTTGATTTATATCAGGTGGTTTTGACTCGAGGTCTAGAGTTGAAGGTCCCTTATTTAGAGAATACAATAAAATCAATTGCATATATATATATATATATATATATATATGTACTTATTTTAAATTGGCCCGAGTTGCAAACTAATCCATTACCCTCTCCAGACTATTTGGTACACAGACGCTGACACCACGCCCACGCCAGAGGTGGGAAACCAGCCAACAGAGATCTCAAGGAAAAGGACTAAGGTTGGTCACCATAAACATTACCCAATCTTTATGAAAACCCCAGTTTTTGTAGTGGTGGTGTTTGTTTTTTCCTACCATGTGGTTCTCTTTAGATTATCTGGGAAAAACATCTTAACACTGGGAATAATAATAATAGGATATTTTTCATGTCATTTCAAGAATAACACAGTGGGGACTGTTTGGATTTTGTCAAGTTGAATCTTCACTGCCATTATTAACACGCACTGGATGCACCATAGCATAACAGGACCTAGTTGTGAAAGTAACATTTGAATGTGTCTTTGTCTTTCAGACTTTCATTATCAAAAGAATTCTTCCCAAATCGTTTTTTGGGTCTGGATCCAAGGTAAAGTTGGTGTGTATACGTTTCTGGCCGCCTAGCAACATTTTAGAAAGTTTAAAACAAACAAAAATCAACATTAAAAATATTTTTTGTTGGAGTTGACATAACACAATGTACAAAAGGTGGCTCTGGTGCTGAAATTGGGAGGATCTTGTGTGTGGCTAAAGCAATGCTAGGCTAGGTGAAAGATTTTTCTCCAAATGAATGAAGCTACTGTTTACCTTTTTCTCCCAGTCATTCCATTCTTCACCTTACCCATGAACCTTACGGGGGGAAAAAATACACTTAAAATAAAGTTCAACAGATGTGGGAAGCATCACAGTACTAACATTTTGAATTCATCAGCTGTTCAAAATGTTTGCTTCTCTTCTATTTTCAAGCACAGCTTCTCCTGAAGAAACTCTAAAACAAATGTTCAGGGATCTGTTCTGCCTCAGCGCACGCCACCGAAGCGCTTTAATGACAAGAAAGCATGTGATTCACGTACACGTTACAAATGGCCTGTAACAATCACACACTGAGTGTAACGGCAGGTTGACTGCAACCTTTACCCTCCTTGATCCTTTAACAAGATATACACGTAGTGAAAAGGGCATCTTAATCCTGTCTTTAAGTGATTTTTGGAAAGAAGCTTTTGAGTCGTCTTCCCTCATTAATGCTGCTGTTAATATAAAGGTATGGAAAAAACTTAGATTTCAGTTTATCACTAATTAGGACTGGCAATGCATAAAATAAGCCACTTCCAGGCACCAGTCAATTTGACTGTTCATTCGTTTTTTGTATTTTTTTCTGATAATCCAGTATCTTTATCCTGCAATACATTCATGTTCCTTATTCTTTACAGGAATCTGCAAATCCATCATCAGATGCTCAGGCACAGCCTCAGGTTTGTAGTTTAGAATGTGAAAGTTGTAAAAATGTTGTAGGTGTTGATCACGATTTCGCCTTGAGCTAGTCGCATAGTTTTTGCAAGTTATTTTTTTTTAATGTTTTTTTTTTTCCTTTTAAGTGATTTCATCCAATAGACGAAAATCAAACACTATGTCAAACAAATCCAAAGCAACGGATATAAAGTGTATATTTTAGCAGCACTTGTCATTGCTTTCACTTTGTAAAATTATTTTGTCTTTTTTATCGAGTAGATTTGGGAATTGGTTGGGGATTTTTATTTTATTTTTTTAATGCGTTTCTTGTCGATCCAGTTAAAGGGCTACTTCCTGGCAACTGGCTGCAATTGTGTAACTCACCCTGCCACTTGCCAAGTTATCTAAACACGGTAGAACAACAACAACCTTTTGTCTTCACTAAAACTGTTAAGTCACTTTGTATGAGCTGTGGCAATTGTAGCACAGTTTCAGAAAAGGGAACTGCGTCCTCTAATAACCCGATGAGCTCGATGCATCCCACGGTGTTTTTAAGGTCATTGGGCTCCTGTCGGGAAATGTTGCTGCATTTCCTGTTGGCAAGTGGATATCACGCATGAAGATCATCACATGAAAAGTTGTTTTTGTTTTCCACTCAAGGAGAGCTGAACTGATTTTTTTTTTTTTTTTTGCACACTTGACATGAGACAAAACAAACGTACAAGTAACTTTTCATCAAGATAGGAGTTTTTTTTTTTTTTTTTTAAGTAAATAATTTCTTAATATCGAAACTGAAGTACTAGTTCCACTGGCAAATTATTTCATATTTCCCATGTTATAAGTTGGGAAACAAATCTTCCAGAGGAACTAGTATTTTTTTTTTCTTTAAGAAATTATTTATTTAAAACAAGCTGCTATATCTTACTGAAAAGTTACTTGGGAGTCAGAAAAAAGACAAAACCAAGATATTTGCACTAGAAACTAGACCAAAATCACTTAAGATTTTATTTTAGCAGTGCGCAATATTCTGGGTTTCCTTTAAATAGAAACTACTTTGATTAGTAAAAATTATTGCACTGTTTTGACAACTAGGATCAGTTGGAATTTATGCAATTGAATAAAATTGATTTTTTTTTTTTATTTTTTTTTTTTTTTTTGTAAATTGCCTCACAAAGACATTTAAATAAACAGAAGCCAACTGAATTCTAAATGCATAAATAAGGAGAAAACTTTCTGGAATAAAGACTCGCCAAGATCAGATTAGGACAGGAAAGTAGATCAATACATTTACATTTAGGTTGTTATTAACAGGGTGAACACTGCAATCATCTGATAAGAGCTGACATGATAACATGAGTTCACTGAAGAGACAATTTTACTAAGATGTATCATTTCTGAATTGGACATTTGAATCTTTTTGATGCCGTCTGTCATTTGGTCTTTTTTAAAGTTAACTCTAAAATATGTTATCCTTGCTGTAGGAGGACGTTGAAGTTCAAACACTACAGCTGGCTGAAGTACCAGTACCTGGTGAAGGAACACAACTGGACCCTCTGGACGTACGCCTGTTTCTTTTGATCTACGCTTCACTGATTATATTTGAGTAGCCAGACGCATCCTGAAAAACATTTAATATATATATATATATATTTGCAGGATGAGGAAGGCCTCCTCTCATGGTGGAAAACTGTTGAAGGTAGCTTTGCTCTTAGTAGTTTTTGTTCACTGCAGCTGAAACTTCATAAAGGTAACTTTTTTTTTTGTCTTCTCTGACTCCAAGGATGGGATGAGTGGAATGAAGCGAACCAGAATGATGATCCTGAAGAGTATGTAAAACAAATGAGCATGTTGGATTTTTTTTTTTTTTTTTTGAGTTTGATTTAAAATGAAGAGCAAGAAATTGCTAATTTAAGACGATACTTGATTGAACTGCGGCTTAAATGTTCATTTTATGGTTTCTTCTATAGCTGTCTCTATTGCTTTATTTTTCTAATCATCTCCATTGATGATCATACATTTCAAATTAGGCATCTGTTTATATGGAGAGTCCCAATCCAGTGTGTGTGTCAGAACTGTATTTGGTACCTTTGCTTGGAACATAATGAAACCTAATTTCATTGGATGCATGTGAAAGGGGACAGTTTAATCAAACACATGACAATTCATGAGCTATGAAATGCCAGTTAGCCAAAAGGCTATTTGTAGTCTCATGGCCTGGAGGTAAAAAAAAAAAAAAAAAAGCAATAAAATACGAGAATGAGTAAGATACTGTAAGTAGATGAGATTAGACTTAAAATAATAATAAAAAAAACCCTAACCCTCTACGAAGGGAAGGAAACATAACTTAAGACGATACGATACAAATAAACAACACAGCACTACATGTTAACCAGTGTTTCTCTCCCACAGTGAGAAACACTGATGGAGAACCACTAAAAACTTTGAAGTATTACATTATTTTGATTAAACAAATCCACAGAACGCTGTGGGAAAGCTGATTCTTGGCATTCCATTAGCATAGCCCTAATTTCAACCTTACATAAGATGCATATTTGTAGTTGCCATTTTTTTTTCCTTTTTTTTTTTTTCCCATTCTGTTTATTAGAGTGGTGGAACAAGCCGCCGACCGAGTCTTCATGGCCGCGCGTCTTTTTGTTCGCTTCTTCAACCAGCGCGGCGCCTCCCTCCAGCAGCGAATCCTGGAACTCCTCTCCTTGGCCGACTTGGCAGACAACTTCCACAAGAAGACGGTGACGGCCAGCGTGGGCGGCGGGGTGGCCAGCGTCGCCGGGTCAGTCACCACCATCACCGGGCTCATTCTGGCGCCCTTCACGGCGGGGACGTCGCTCATCGTCACAGCGGTGGGCATCGGCATCGCCACGGCGGGCGGCGTGACGTCTGCCTCGGCCAACATCACGGACACACTGCATTCAAAGACCGACCGCAAGAAGGTGGAGAAGATGATCCAAGATTACCAGGATGAAATTAAGGACATCAAGGACTGCTTGGAGTTCTTACAGGTCAGAACGTGCACACATTCTAGACGTTGGAGTAGATTAGTATGACGACGTATTGGGGCCACCGTTGATTTAAAAAAAAAAAAAAAACAATCCTCAAATTTTCTAGAAAAAGCTCAGAACATTTCCAAAAGCTGAAAATGTTAAACTTTTTAAATTAAGAACATTTTTAAGTTGAAAATGTTCAACTCTTGAAACTCAGACATTTCCAATTCTTTTCTAGAAATGTTTTTGGCAGAAATTTACAATATTTTTTTTTTCCTTGAACATTTTCAACTTTTGAAAAATGTTCTAAATTCAAAAAGTTGATCACTTTCAACTTGTGTTCTGAGTTTTTTTCCTAGAAATTTTGACAGTTGAGGGTTGTTTTTTTGTTTTTGTTTTTTTTTGGCAGAAATGTACTTTATTTTGATGCACGGTTGCCCAAGTATATTAGTTTTTCTTTTTGTGTGATGATTTCTTAGTGTCAGTTGTTTAGAAATGTGTCGGATGCCGATTCATAAGAGCAAAACTCGCGATCCTTTCAGGAAGGGATGGAGACGCTCGAGGAGTGGAACTTCGAGAAGTACGCCGAGAGCATCTCGAAGAAGCACCTGAATCAGAACGTCAAACATGTAATGAAGGAGGGCGGTCGGGCTGGGAAGGCTTTAGTCATCAACACGGAAAGCCTGATCAGCACCGTCCAGGTTCTGAGCGTCGCCGGCGGCGCTGCTAAAGCCGCGCAGGTGATGAGCGTCACCACGGGAGTCATGTCGGGCCTCTTCCTGGCTCTGGACGTGTTCTTCCTGGCGAAGGATTCCATGGAGCTGAAAAAGGGCGCGAAGACGGAGTTTGCCACCAAGATCCGAGAGGTGTGTAAGGACCTGCAGGACGGGTTGCTGGAGCTGAACCGAATCAAAGAAGAGCTGCAAAAAACTATGGATGGGATAGAGGTGGAGGTTGAAGAGGAGGATGAGGAGATGTTGAAGTCTGACCTGAAGAAGCTTATTGAACTTGAAGACTGAGGGGTGGTGGCTACGTATTTAAAATCAAGCATCCCGGTTTTAAGAAGACAAAGAAACCAAAATGGGGCAATAGCTTTGGTAGTTTTTTTTCCAGTCGTTGCTGAAAAGATGTTACTTTTTTCAAAAATATTTTACTAGATTCTTTTTAAATATACTTGACTAAAATGTTGTAATTATTCTGAATGTGTGCCTTTTCCTCTTTAATAAAAGTGGTTTATTTGTATTTTATGTTTGGCTAATGACGTAACATGTGGATGGCTGAAACCAGGAAGTAGAGACACGCGGAGACCAGTTTTGATCAGAAAATATTCCAGTAAACACTGCATGAACACCGCGTGCTTGCGCCGCAATGCCAGCATGAAGGCCTGAAAAAATGTGGAAGGGCCGCATTATCAAAGCACGTCTGGAGGGAAAAAAAAATTTCTGTCAGATGTTTTCAGCATGAACAGTAAACTGGAAAACATAGAACAAAGGAAGTTAAAATGCAGCCAATATTGAGTAATTATGGTCACTAAGATGTTTTGTATCATAGCCAAAGAAAAGGAATGTTTTTAGTTGCAAGAGTTGGCGCCCTCGTGTTAATATCCAGGTGACACTTATCACTCAAAACGTCATAAAACTGATCATTTTAAAGAAAAAACCCTCACTTGAGTCCAGATGGAAGACGGTACACTCAACCCCACCCAGTGTGGATGACAGAGCTGACTTTTCTGGTTGGTGGAAAAGGAGGCTACAACTTGTCAAGTTCAAATGGAACTTCAAAAGTTTAAAACTTGACAATAGACTTTGTTCCACTGAGACTGGCTGAATGTAAACGCAATAAAATGTAAACTTTTATTGAACTATAGAGGTGATTCTGGAGAATCACTGTGGGCACTAAGAATTCAAATGTATGGAAAAAAAATTGCACAAAAACAAACCTCAGCCTTGATGATCACAACAAAATCCAGGAATTTTTTTTTTTTTTTTTTTTTTTTAAATAGCTTCCTTCTCAAACATAGTTCATGCATTTCCTTTAAAAGCCACTTTGGGGATTTCTTTTTCTCATTCCTGTTACTCTCCTGTAGTTGGAGCAGGTTGAGTCGGACAGTAAAACTTTGTGTTTATGTCAATCAAGTATTCACACCTCAAATTATCCTTCCCAATCTCTGTGCTTACTGTTAATACCTGCAGTTCAGCTACTGTACTTAAAAAAATAAATAAATCTAATCTTCAGTGGTGGCTGACTGAAACCTCAAACTTGTGGTTGTGTTGCGGTTAAACCCTATGGAATAACTAAATCTAGTCTTTTATTAAGGAAACATTATTTTTCCATTTTCCTTTATTTAATCATACTAAAACCACGTAGAGATCACGACTTCATTTGTAATGGGTTCCACTGAAAGGCTGAAAATCTGCCTTTCAGTGAAACAGAAGATAAGTTACAGTAAAAAGGAATAGAATAGAATAGACTTTATTGGAAGTTCCAGTTCCAGAAAAACTCATTTGCTATTTTGTCGGTCATGTGGGTGTGAGTAATGAAAGAATCTGCACTGACATGTCCAAGGTGTTTACATGGCAAAATGGACACTTGTTCATGCAAATGGCCTTTCATGTCTTAAATAACCAATAGGAACCTCCAAACAAACTTGTTTATATAGTTTAAGATTGGTTTTAATTCAATCAAATCTACCTTTTTTTGTGTGCTAGGTGCAAATTTCATTAACTTTAGAAGGCGAGTGCCCTGTAATTTAAATTACATTAAATGTGTATCTTTAGATTACTGTCATCACCGGCAGTGATAACTACAGTAGGAGTTGCATAAAATTCTGAAAAATCCTATTTTAATTTCATATTTTTTAATTAGAAATATCATAAAGGAACTTGTTAAAATGAGTTGAATACAGCTGGAGTTAAAACATTTAACTCCAGTGTCATTATTTATCACTGCAAAAACACAAAAAGTATTTTTGGTCTACTTTCTAGTCCAAATATCTTCGTACACTTGAAATAAGACACAACAAACTTGTATAATATTCTAAAAAGTTACTTGTAAGTTAGTTTTTAACTAAACAAGTCCTTAATATGTATTTAAATACACTGGCAGATTATTTCACTTATAACAAGACCATGTTACAAGTGAAAAAAATCTGCCTGTGAAACTAGTTCTTATTCATCAGTACCAATTAATTATTGACTTAAAACAAGCTCCTATATCTTCCTGAAAAGTTAATTGCAAGTTAAGTTTCGTCTTATTACAACTGTACTGTAACTAGACCAAAAACACTTGGTAAAATTTTACAATTTAAACAGTGCTTGGTGAAAACTAAATATGTTTAAAAAAAATGCTCACATTGCAGTAAGCTGATGAGAGTAAACTGTGGCCCATCAGAATAAAATTTTAAATATAAACACTAGAAGATCTTAGAGTTTAAAACACAAAAGTTTCTGAAAAATTAGATCCTAAAATCTTAAAAATTTCTTCTATTTGAAATGAAGACAGCGACAGCTTACAGTACATTTCTAAAAATGGCTTCAAACAAACGGAAACATTTGGCTCTTTTACACATTTATAAGCACAGGGGCAAGACTTCTCTATACCTCAGTCACCTTGTCAACCGTGTATGAAAATATCTCAAAAAACTAATGCGAGCTGACTTGTCTTGGCAGCAGGTGAGGGTCAAACAACTGAGCCTCAACAACAGGACATTGACCCCAGTCACTGCAACAAATACTTTTGAAAAAAAAAAAGAAGAAAAAAATGTGTGAAGAATGAAGTCAATGTTTCGGAATTACCCAAACAATGTAAACATCGCTCTAATCGAAGTGCCAGGTGCCCTTAAGATGGATGAGAACTGATAAAAGCAAACATGAAGCGGCACCGGGCCAAGAAATGCTCCACGTTGACGTGAGAGACAGGTGACGGCGAAGAAGAATGAGATATGTCTGCTAAAGCAGGTTGGACCACTCACTGACTTATGTGATCCACATTGTTTGTCGCCAGCCTGACTGGTTTATTCTTTGTGTGTGCTGAAGTGAATAGTTACACTTTCCATTTGCCAAATATCTTTAGGACAGGGTTGTGTTTTTTACCCACGGCTTTGTCAAGAGTACGACCCACAAAGCAGTGCTTCAGCTCTAGACTGAGGGAGAGGGCTCCGACTTTTGTGACAACAAAACCATGGAGTGATTCTGATGAGTACAATCACAAGTAAACAAATGAAGGCAACATATTGTTCTTTACAATAATTAGACTGTATTAAACAATAGGCCATATGAAGAAATAAACACTGCTTTTTAAAAAGGAAGCATAGTGTCAAACCTGATGCGTACGTAAAAGTTCCAGAAAAATGTAACTGGTTTCTTTTGCATTTCAGTTTTTAATATCAGAATGACTTTCTTTTAAGTCAGGCTTCTTTGTTTTAACTGTTTTTATAAATAAAAGAATATACTCAAAGAGTGACAAAAAGTTAGCAAAAATCACATTGTAATATACTTATTTCAATGTAATAAATATGGCAAAAATTGCATCCATTAAACAAGGGCAACCTAAACAAAAGTTGCTTAGAACCACAAAAGCTACAGTTGAAACCAGAAGTTTAAATACCCCTTAAGATATGAAGGAGTGGCCAGGAGTGAGGATGAGGGAGAAACGGACAGACAAGAGGACAGGGGGGAAGGTAAAGACAATGAAGATAAAGATAAAGATGAGAGAAAAGCAGACAATGCTTCTGTTATGTGTCATTGGTAACAGTTACAAGCTGGAACGGTAAGCCCAGTCAACCAGATCCAAAATTCACTGTGAAACAGTGCTTGAACCATGTATGTCTTGGCCTTTCAAAAGCTGTGGTACCAGAAATTTCCATGGCTCCACGTCGGTCTTGACCTTGAGGGCGTGGTGTGTTTTTTCTACTCCAAAGCCTTTAATTGTCAGACATCACCTCTTGCCATGAATGCAGATGCAGCATTCTTTGGAATAAAGTATACAAACAATTTACCGTGCGAGAGAGATCTGCTAGTCATAAGACTGTCATGACAACACATTTATGAAGATCGGTCAGTACGGGTTCAGAAATGCATGTAGGAATCAGCAAGGAGATGTCTTTTGAATGATATGCAGATGTTTTCCAGGCAGGGTTTGCCTTTCAGGGGCCATGAAAGTGGTGAGGGAAATATTGAGCAGGATCTGAATTACAGAGGATGATCTCTGTCAATCAAGAGGTAGAAAGCATGGAAATGTTGCCGAGTCTTCGGTGCACTTTGGAAAAAAATGGGGAGTTGGAGATTCTAAAAATGTCCCTCCAGAGAAGCATACACACCTTTACTGGAGTGCTTTCAGCTGTCGCCTGTCAGTTGCAAAACAAGAGATGCAGGGACTTTTCAGGGTCCTTACTCAAAGGCAACAAAGCTGCGTGAGACTCTCCATTTCACTCCTATTGCCTGTCCTTGTATCTGTATCCCGTCTGTATCTCACAGGTACTGCGTCTGCACATATAAGTGTCCTCTCCTTATTACAACAGGACTAAATTCTTCAAAGTCTTGGACGCTCATAATGTGTAGTTTCAGAAGAGCACAAAGGAATGGAAATGTTAAGACATCTGGAACAAGTTATTTTCACAAGATAGACATACTGTGGTCAGTACCCAGAATTCAGCCCAGACATCCTTAAAGTTCAGCTTGCATTTAGGACTAAGTAACCCTTCAAAACAAAATAGCGTATCTTCTGATAATAAGAGGAAATCAACACATTTTCTTTATTGAAATGTTTACAAAAAGAAAATCCTGAAAAGAAACTGGTAAAAAAAACAACAACAAAAAAACTCATCAATTTTATGTAAAGAAAGAAGATACAATAGAGAACATACTGCTAGATTCAATTTACTGAAGAGGGAGTTTTCAGTTATACATATTTAATGAATAAACACAAAAGCCAGTTTTTAAATGTTTGACCTATTGATTACCTGCCGGTCAAGGGAAAAGTGTGCAGGTTTTCTGCTGACTGACTTGCTACATTCCTTCCCCCCCAGCAGGTTTTCATGCAGCCAAACAGACAACCCGGATCTGATGAAGTCATCTATGTACTTTGTATCTTAGTCAAACTGTGCTGTATGACAAGGGTGTCAACATTCTCACAGCACATCACCAAGACATGCAAAGTGAACACATAAAGAATTGCAGGAATGTCACAAACCAATGTTGAAATAAAGGCAACCTGTCAGAGAGACACTCGTTTGCGTCAATGGTTGCTG